CTCACACACACACACACACACACACACACACACACACACTCACACTCACACTCACACTCACACACACACGCTCACACACACGCTCACACACACACACACACGACTGGTTTTGTGTTCCAGGGTCACATATATCTGAACATAAGTCACATTTACTCATTTATCAGCTGATGTGTTCATGTTTCCTATAATTCTATTTTAACAACTTGTATGAAGCCATATGCAAAATTAATACAACTCTATACATCTCAAAACAGAACAACAACAAAAAATAAAAACTGTGGCAGGGTGCAAATAGAATTTACAAGAAATTAAATAAAATAAGCGTCTCATGAGTCATGTTTGGTTTTTTTTGCTTCTAAACCCATTCAAACATATGCATGTTGTTTATTCTCGCTTATAAACTGATCAAATGATGGCTTCACTTCCTTGCATGAATATGAAGTCAAATAAACACTTGTATGATACAATAAATAATACTAAACCAATGTTGTCATGCGTTTGTCTGGCCAGTGACGTGTCAGTCAGTCACGTGATCAGCTTTAACCTCTTTTAAATGTCTAAACTGTCTGATAATTCCCTTCTGGTCTAATAGCAGACTTATATTTCATATTTAATCCTCTGTGAGTTTAATAAAACACAGTTTTCTGATTTTCTCTCAGAGGATCCAGTCACAGCTCGAGCTCCTCAGATAGCTAGCTATGCTAACGTCACACTGACAGCTTTAACCAGAACACTTCGTGACAATCCATCACAGACATCTAAAAGCCACAGTTCTGGACCGCTTCGGTGATCCATGTCCTTCGCATCATGATTAATACACGTCTGATGAATTTTCATTGGAAACTGCCGATGTTGTTAGCCGCGTAGCATTAGCATGACAGCTGGCGAACATCAGCAATGAGAAAGAATGATAAAGTCGCGCGCGTCTTACCTCAGAAACGGGTTTCATTTATGCTCAAGCTCAAATATAATGCGTGTCCCTCTCATTATGAGAGATAATTAAGACACAGAGTGATTTGGTGATGTTTGTGTGCGGAGACTCTGCGGTGCGGATCAGGAAGTGGAGCGCGCAAGGCATTGTGGGAGTTGTAGTCGCTGTCTGACCGTTAAGCTGCACGTTAGTCACATGTCTCATTGGCGCAGTTTAAAACAACAGTGCACATCTGAACAATATTGCATATATAAAATATATTTAAATATAATAGTATTCATAATGTAAAATATGTTAGGGTTAGTGTTAGTAAATGCGACCTACTCTATCGCCATTCAGCCATGTCTTGGGAAAATTTTCATTTACAACTGAAGTTAATTTGTAAAGTTATAGTTATTTAATTGAACTGTTAATCTATAGTACACAAATGAGAGTACTGGGACAGTTCTGAGACAAAAACTATATATATATATAATATATATATAGATATAGATAGGTTTTCTGTTTATTCAAAGTTGATAAAGTTGACTAAACAAATAAATGGAAATGCATTACTTTTTTTTTGTTAAC